CCCCCCCCCCCCCCCCCCCCCCATCATCACAAAACAACAATAAGTTCACTGCGTGCCTGGGGATTACATGCTTGCCTTCAAGAAATTAGATGATGATACTGAGCTCTTCTATTTTACATAACAAAATAAACAAAGGGGTACACTTCCTGTCCCCCATTCACAACGAAACACCAATCGGCAATGGTCGCGTGCGAAAATTTGCATAACAAGTGATAGATCGAGGGCTTATATTGGTATAGTGTAGACTCATTTGCATATGAATAGTCTGCATTCGCCCCGTCGTGTTTAAAGCATTACTAATCTCTCTAATAGTCTAGAGTATTCACTTCGCTTTCTGTCAGTTTAAGCTTGCCTTGACGACTTGTATAGATACTCAAACATTCCTCTATTATATAGTTAGTTGGCATTTAGTTTAGTAAGCATCTATTTTGCTCGAAAAAGTCATCGATATCGTCGATTCGTTAAAAGTGCCTTGATCCAGACTATATTAGTTCAACATGTGGTGGCTTGAGCGAAAGCAGAACCAGTTGTTCCTGATAGTGAATGGACGGAGGGCATTCAGCCGAAACAGGAATGTCGAGTTTCCCGACGTCATCAGCATGATTTGCGTCGCTACCACTTCATCTACTGAAGACAGCATACAGGTGAGAAACTTACATAACCTACTAGAATAATCTGCAGTTCGTGTTTCTGACATGGTTACTCTTTAAAAAAATGCAACCTTGCAACAATGCAAGTCAAGACATGATTGATAGACATTCTAACTGTTGGACAAGTGCAAATGAAATCATTTCAAATGGTGTGCAGCACTGCCTGCAAGTGCAAGTGCAACGTAGACTTTCAACGTAGGGATTAAGATCTAACTTTAACTCAACAACAGTTAACTGTCAGTTCAGTTATCTATTTATCTCAGATCTCTAAGTTCGGTTTAACAAACTAGTGTTAGACCTATTTTTTTATGTATATCACTTATCTATTCTAGCACTATAGTCGTACTACTAGTACTAGTAGAGTCTATAGTAGCTTGCTGGGACTGGTTTGGTTGAGCTGGTTGCATGTGACCCGGGCTTAGAATATATATTATTTTATAGTGTCTAAGTTAAGTAGATTAGATCTAGACTAAGCCAATTAAAACTTAACGTCAGTAGTAAGTAAGTTGTGTCTGCTATTTTGTTGTTCAAAGACACTAGTTGTCACTATGTAAAGAAATATTCTGGTTGAGGTCAAATAGAGTCTATGTGAAATGAGTTTGACAGAGCATTAAACCATTAATTATTACTCCATCGTGATTGAGATCTCAACTATAAATCTAGGTAGAGGTCTCTATTTAAACTGAAATCACATCAAATTCAGACTTGGTTCAGGTCATGAGACAGTTCGGCTGACTGTCTACTAGCGACCAAGTCTTGAAGCCTAGCCTCCACCAAATTATTTCTTGTGACCAGTATAAATGTAACCAATTATATCCCTGTTACACATGTACACAAAAAATATTTACAAAAACGATGAATTTTATTTCATCTAATCACAGCAAAAACTTACATGCCATATGCAAAAATGGATCTATGAATACATGTAGATCTGGGTAAACTAATATAGGGTTTCAAACTCTCTGCATCTGCATAACATATGAAATTATATAATGAGCCAGGAAAAATTAATTTCCTTCAATATAATTTTTAATCAAAATATCTTCAAAGCTTTTTGTATCCCAGGATGTAATTCAAAATATTGCTAGAAAAGTGATTGAGTTCATGTTTGGTTCTTTAATTAACAATCGCACAGATCCAGGTGTGCAGAGAGATATCCAATTGGATTTTCGTCTTGGGAGCCGACCCAAGCTAGCTAGATCTAGTAATTATCAGTAAAAGTTTGGTGAATATTTGATAAAGGATTATTACAAAGTTTTTTTTAAACCCAAATTAAACTCTGCGATGAACTTTTATTGTGTGCTAAAATTGAATGAATTCATAATTTCTTGAACACAATTTATTCATGCCTGTGCCATATGTTTTCACACACTTTTAGATTTTTTACTTTATCAACTACCATGGAAACGTCTACAAAAATGTGATAAGAATTTTTAAGTTACATGTCCGTCACAGAGTTGTAGATTTTTGTTTGATTGGAAATTAAAATTTGTATAACATTGCTTATAATCCGTTTTCAGATTTTGTCAGATAACTATCATCAAGCTGTCAACCTGATTTTTCTGCTTATTCATAAAAATCAATATATATTATTTGTGTAGACTTTCCTGTTGAATATTTCTGACTCATTCAAAACCTTCACTGATTGGTTTCTCTAACTTCAATTAGTTTACCCATATTTTGTGTGTCCAGTCGAGTCACATAGCTAAAACATACCTGACACATAGTGGAAGACTTTATTATCCCCTCGCGGATGAAGTCAGAGGGGATATAGTAAAGCTGCCGTCCATCCTTACTTCCGTGCTTCCATAACAAATGGTTTTCTTTTGATAACTGTAGATGTGTTTTGCAGAGTTTAATAAAATTGATTTGAAGGTGCATGCATGGTATAAAGTACAGCCTAAGGTCGATTTTAGAGTATGTAGGTCAAAGGTCATAGCTCATTAAATATGCGAAAATAGCAAATTATGGCTTCAGTTCGTTAACTTTAGTAAAGTTCAATGGATTTTAATGAATTTTGGTATGACGTCATGGAATCAAAATTCAGCCCGAGTTTGATTTCGGAGTATATATGTCAAAGGTCATAAGTCTTTAAATATGTTAAAATGTAGTTTCCGTTCGATAGCTTAAGTACCGGTAATGTTTGACTTATTTTAATGAAATTTGGTATGAAGGTACATGGATCAAAATACAGCCTGAGTCTGATTTTGGAGTATGTAGGTCAAAGGTCATAAGTCTTTAAATATGCGAAAGTGTGGTTTCCGTTCGATGTTTAAAGGGGAAGTCCACCCTGAAATTAAGTTGGGTTTAATAAAAGCAGAAGAATGAGAGAAACATATCATTGAAGGTTTGACGAAAATCCATCAAAGGATAACGAAGTTATGAATTTTAAATTTTTAATTTGTGACGTCACTTCCGAGCTGCTCTTCCATATGTTGTGTACTGTAATTTCCATAAATTGCCCCCTTTTCATGGTTCTTGATGAAGGAATGGATCTATTTCATAGAGGCGTGTATAAAAGCATGTGTCTGATAATATATCGAATGCACAGGTAAAATAATATATTTTTTCTGAGAAAATGGCAATTTATGGAATTTACAGTACACAACGTATAGGAGAGCAGCTCGCATGTGACGTCGTCACAAATGAAAACTTTAAAAATTCATAACTTTTGTATCCTTTGTCGGATTTTCGTCAAACCTTCACTGATATGTTTCTCTCACTGTTCTGCTTTTATTAAAAACAACTTAAGTTCAGGGTGGACTTCCCCTTTAATGGATTTTTATAAAATATGGTATGAAGGTACTGTACATATTGTATAAACATACAGCCTATTAAGTTTGATTTCAGAGTATTTAAGTCAAAGGTCATAGCTCATTAAATATGCAAAATAGCTTACTATGCATCTGAATATGCGGTTTCCATTCAGGGGCCGCGGAGCGTTTTTTGAAAGTGGGGGGGGGGGGGGCGGATCATGCAAAAAAGCACAATCTTATAGTCATTTTCGCGTTTTTGTACACGTCTACTGAAAAAAGTGGGGGCTGCAGCCCCCCTTAATCCCCGCGGCTCCGCGGCCCCTGCCATTCGATAACTTTAGTAATGTTTGTCAGATAATCCCCTTGCGGAGGAAATCTGAGGGGAAAATAGTAACGCTACTGTCCGTCCTTCCGTCCGCCTGTAACAAATCTTGTGAACACGTACTGGTTTCCGTTTGATAATTTAAAATGTTTGACAGATTTTCATGAATTTGATATGAAGGTACATGCATGGTATCAAATACAGCCTAAATTTGATTTTGGAATAATGTACATTAGGTCAAAGGTCAAATGTCTTGGGTTATTCCGTAAAGTAGTAAACTTTCTTTTCATTCAATCCCCAGATGTCAGTAACTTAATTCCGTCTAATGGACGTACATGTAACTTGTTCTGATGTATTATGCCGTTTGTTTCCAGCGAGGGCTTGCTACGCTTTGCGTTGTCCTTGTGTTGTATTTTTGTTCTGATGTGATGTGCAGAGAGTGTTTTTTATACAAAGTACTTTTTTTCTAAATGGCCAATGTTGGTTAAACATGGAACTTACATGTAGGAAAGTATACCTAACAAACTGAAAGTTTCCCCACTAAGTCATACATACATGGTCACATTGCCAATGGGAGGGTCTCCATACTTGTATATACTTTTAAAAACTCATATTTGTTTGATTTTTCTACATTCATCCAAACCAAATTTCTATGAAAGATTCAATTTCCCTTTAAGCTTTAAGCTGACATTAACCATCTTAGATTAGATTAGATTTTTTAAAGAGATATTTAAAAGAGGATTAACCTAGCTAGACTATGTACTGGGCGACATTCAAAGTTAGTCTTATACCTTTTGACATAGCGATTGACAATGTATTTCTGTAAATCAGCATATTGTATTATGAAAGTTTATGAATTCTTGAAAGAAAGAAAGTATTCTGAATTCTCAACAAAAACCAAACAAAATAAAAAAGTCCCCAAAAAAAATTTTCTTCAGAATTTCAGGATTCTCAAAAAAAAAAAAAAAAACACATCTAGAATTCTCTAAAGAATGTTTTTTTAATTCCCTTTTTGGAGAAATCTGAAATTCATGAATGGGAGGGGGGTTTGTATTTAGGAGTCTATTTACTATAATAAATAGTGAATGTTCTATCATGTACACTATAAATACTGGACTATGAACTCCAAATACTAAATTATCCCTCGTGCAGGTTTATTTTGACTCAGGATAATTTAGTAATTTAGTCGGACATATAATTCATTATTGTATGATAGAGTATACACTATTTATATAATAGTTCACGACTTACTTATGCAGATGGTCCTTACAAGGGTGCTATAGGTTATACTGGCTTTAAACGGGACAGAAACAGAACTGTATACATAATTGAGTCCTGAAATCGTACCGGTGGTACTCGAACTGTCCAGGCTCCTAACCTAGAATGCAGCATCCTGATAATGTAGTCTTATAATATATGCACACTTAAATGATTACAAATTTTTCCTCTATTCTTTATGACATTCATACCACAAATATGTTACCAAACTTGTAACAAATTAGTACAATGCCCTTCCATACATTCCTGTTTTCCATTATAAATCCAATTATACAGGTATAATTTATACTGAAATGTACAATGTATTGTAAAGGTATCAAGACTAGCTTTATGCCATATTACTGGACTACCCACCTAGTGCTAGCCAACCTGAGAGGATGGTGCACCATTAAAAGTTTCAATCACTGATGACATGGAATATCTCATATTGGCAACGCAGTCACTTTTTGTGATGTCATACAAGGAGAACTCTCCCACATGTACAAAAATATGTGAATTTCATTTTTTTCCTCAGTCAATTCATAGAACAGAATTTTTGTCCAAGTCCTCCTATAAAAGAGGTGATTTTAGTGCAATATCTGCAAAAGAAATTGGAAAGTTTTTCATGTATGATCTCCATATTAAACATTAGTAATCATAACTTTTTTTTAAATTCACGTCTTTACTCATTAATTGACTGTTTTTGCTTCAACTTAATTTCACTGACATTTATGTTACTTTAATTTTTCTGCATTCTTACAATTCAATTGTCTCTGAGGAGTTTATTCTCCTTTATAACGAGGGCAGAATCTAAACTCTACCGCAGTGCAAACTGTTGAAAGTTATACATCCCATACTTGTATCGCAATGTATTAATGAAAATTCATCTAATTAATGAGAGTGCAAAATATAGGTTGTTTCTCTAAACATAGAGGTATATAGTCTGTACTGTTTGTACATTTCGGAGGAAATCGACTTACTAAAAGTTTCTGAATGTCCTGTGCATGCACATTTGTTGTATGTTACATGACACGATCATCAGGCAGACTACAACTTCACTCTTGATTTCTCAAGGGGAATTGTAATTTGTATATTATGCAAAAACATATCTACCCTAGCTACATGTACATGTACAACAAAGAAATATGAGTAAAAATTGGCATTCAAGGAAAAAGGGATCTTTTTTTGCATGTTCCCCCGCCAAAAGAAGTTTGAAGGGGGTATACATGTACATAGGAATTGGCGTACGGTCGGGTTGTCGGGCGGTCAGTCGGTCAGTCTGTTGCAAATCTTGTGGATCGAACTACTTCCTCATTTTTTGAGCAATGATCATGAAACTTGGCACACATATTGGTCTTAGGATGGAGATGTGCAAGACATACTTTTTTACTGTGTTGGATACTGCGTTGCCATGGGAACGGCATATTATTGTAATATATCGGGGGAAAATCTCGTGGATCGAACTATATACATGTATACTTCCTCATTTTTTTGAGCAATGCTCATGAAACTCGGCACACATATTGGTCTCCAGTTGATTATGTACAAGACATTTTTTTAATGTGTCGGAAAGTGCGTTGCATTGGTAATGGTCTGTTATTGCAATAAATCTGTAAAATCTTGCAGATCAAACCACTTCTTCATTTTTCGAGCAATGCTCATTAAATTTCGCACAAATATTGGTCTTGAGTTGATTATGTGCAAGACACATTTTTTAATGTGTCGGAAAGTGTGTTGCCATGGTAATGGTCTATTATTGCAATAAATCTGTAAAATCTTGTATATATCAAACCACTTCTTCATTTTTCGTGCACACACATGGGGAGTGAGTATTAATCACTTTCGGTGATATTTCTAGTTCTAGGCAAACATGTAGAACATTCAACTGTATCCCTTATAATCTTTGTGTGAGGTTGTCAAAGCAAAATGAATATAATTTCATTAAGCAGCTTATATTAATGCCTGTATTTGTCCGATTTACTTTCTTCCCAGGTCTGTTTTAGTAATGGTCTTTCTACACAGGCAAAGTTTTGCCAAATGAGTGTCACAAACATGGCAAAGACTTTGAAAAAAACGGAGAACACAGCCTGACCGATGTTTTGTCAGTGATGGCGATCGTTAATGACGACATGATCTATTCATTTCCGTCATCAGAGGAAGAACTCCTTCCTTCTCAATCTTACACACAATCGAGGCAAAAACGTAGCAGTTCTGGATCTAGCAGCGACGGAACTCCACCAGAACGTAAGAGACGAAACAAGACTTCTGAACATTCGGCGGAGAATTCAGATGCAGCAATTGAACAAAAATGTCAAGGTTAGTTTGTGTTCCATTCTTTTACAAAATTCATTTCACTAATAATTCCAGACGTACAACATTTCTCTCTACATGATATCACTAAGTTTAAATGTGATGTTATTGATTGGCAGTTTTTAAATCAAAGAGAAATGCAAATATCATGGAGAGAATGTGTACAAAATAGTTTATCAATATAACAGCACTGAAAGCCTGATAAAATTGGGACATTCCACTTTTATTATTTGATTTTGTATAACTTCAAACAATTTTTAAATGGACTCCTATACAAATACCACAAATATTTCCATTTTTTTCATCAAAACTACAATCTCCTTTTTCTTATTGTTTATGAAGTACATGTTTGGGGCCAAATTGATTATTTAATGCCCCTCTGCAATAGCCACAGGGAAGGTAAAATGGCCAACTGCTGATTAAAACCAAAATAAAGTTGAAAAATGATTAATTGCCAATTCCCCAAAACAATGTTCATATGTTGCATTTTCCACATAAGGCAAAATGAGATTGAATTGAAAAGGGCTATAGGAATATTTTTTGTATAGCTCTAGGACAAAATTTCCCTGATGAGCCTCTGTGTGTTTTGATCCAGTTACTAATAATATGTATCAGGGCCCGTTGCATAAAGACTTACTATTATGGTAACTACCATAGAAACCTTGATTTCGATTGGCTGCTGAGCCCGGTTACCATGGTAGTTACCATAATGGCAAAGTTACCATAATAGTAAGTCTTTATGCAACGGGCCCCTGGTGTCATTTTCAAAATGTAGATTGTTCTCTGCACAGGGGATATTATTTATAAACATTAAAGATTTAAATGTCACAATCTTTGAAAATGTGTCATTGACCTGAAATTTTATTTCTTTACATGTAGGCATTTCTGAAATCTCCCTCAAAAAACTTGTGGAGCCCGAGAAGGATCTCCAGAGACCACGTACCAGGAAGGAAGTGATGGAGGCCAAACAGTTCGTGATGAAGGCAGCAACCCACTTCCAGAGCTCCCATGTCCTTCCAGTCCTCGCAGTAGATGGCCCTTCTGGAACAGCTTACCAGCTCCTAGGAGGGGTGTGCTATGCTCTTGCAGCTAAGGATCTTGTTGACGATGAAAGGTATTTTATTCTATAAAAGTTACCCGTTTTTGCAATTGCTTTTTAATGTTATTTTTGTTTCTTTTTGTAGTTACAGTGTATGAGACAAAGGTTAAATTTTTAAAGGGATTATGTGATGTACTTACCGATATTATATGTACAGAACATATTCATTTATCACTTGTCTTTTTTTTTCTCCATTTATTATGCAGTCCACAAATATGTAGTGGAAGCATGTAACATAAAAGAAATGCTACCCAGGTAGTCAATGTACCATTTGGGAAGAAAAATGGTAATAGAGAGGTGTTCCATTTATAGTTATACAATGAAGGGTATATTAAGGACAATACAAAATATTTTAGATCCCTGACTCAAATAAAATCCCATAGAATATTTCCCTTGTGTACCATGTTCATATTTGTTTTCTTAAAAAGTGTGTGACTGCATGGAAAGGTATACCGTGTAAGCTTTTTTCCAATATTTTATTCTGCATGATACATATATACACCATGTTTCTATATCCTACCCATCTCAATATCCTATAACCAATATACTTTTTCTGATTGCTTTAGATATGAACATCTATCTCGTGGATGGCGCTGCAGGGTGTACCAAAACCTGGACAAGGTTGAGGCATTGAGAGTGGCATCACTGCATAGGTGTGGGCAACCTGCTGTAGACAAGCCGTGCTTGCAGGAGGAGGTTGCTGTCTGCAGGTCAATTCTATACGATGACAACAACCTTGATGTGGAGGATGAGCCCTGCACTATGACTGCCTCGACAAGACGCAAGTGTTCCCTAGCCCTTGGGAAAAATGGCTCCTTCAATGTAAGTCTAAACACTAGAGCTGACATTTTCATCTGACATTTTCATCTAGATAAAATGCTGAATTCATTCAATGTTCTATTTTTACTTGTAGCGAAGTAGGTTTTTTTTTTAATGAAACGATGAATCGGACATTAAATTAGATTTATGTTCAGCATAAAAACTCATGAACATCACCCAACCCCCCAATAAAAAGGTTATTGTTATATTCAGCCAACTTACATGTACATGACAAAATGGAGTTTAATCAATGATTGATTTGAGATGATCGAGCTTTCAAGAGTGACTGTTGGAAACATAAATTTTAGCCAAAAAGTTCTAACATTTCTTATATTTTAACTTGAGGGGTCATATTACAATATGGTGAATTATGTAATGCAATGGTGATTGCAGTGAATGAATTGGAATGTTCAGAATCAAACTGGTTATGAGAGCATATATTATCCATTTCTTTTTTTGTTGTAATTTACAGGCACTGAGGGCTCTCGAGCCAACTTTCCAGTTGGCTAGTTATTCAAACAGATGCTACAGGAAAGCCACTCTCCTTTTCGATGCAACTAGAGAATCTACTGGAAAGGATTTGAAACAATGTGTAAGTAAGCTTTAAATTTTTTTTTTTTTTTTTTACACATTTAAATATCATCTTGAGTAATGAAGGAAAGCATTTTTTTTCTTCATAGAATCGAACAAAACTTGACTTGCGAATGTTCAAAAACTTTTTGGTAGAAAATGTATATTATTGCTGAGTAATGAGCTATATGAAAAATACAAAAATTGAGCTGGACTGGATGTCACACATACCACATGTTTTCTGTGCAAATGAGAATTGTGGTTTATTCAGCAGCGCTATAAGGAGTTTATCAAATCATCACAACCAAAGTAAATAAAGTAATATAGCGCCACCATTGGCGGATACCCTATTCTGACTGGAGGGGGGGGGGGGGGGGGGGGGGTGGTTCAATTTCCTGTTCAAAATCTGTGACTGATGCGCAATGGCTGCAAATAGCGACACGGCTTCCGGTGACTTTTTCTGACTTTTTTTGTTTGTCTCGCAACTTTTGAGACCGAGTTCTAAAAATTAACAATAAAATCAACTTTTTGCATAGGTACGTTCGTGTACAAAATACTGCTTTTCCTAAATTGCTTTACAACACTGTTAATTGTGCCTTCTAGTCTTTTTGCCTGACCATACTTGTCTTGAAACTTTTCAAGATACACTTTTGAAACATGAAAAAAATCACATATATAAATGAAAACAATAGATACATAAGTAGTTTATGAAACAATAGAATACAAAAGAATTGATCGGAAATTTCATTATTTATTATTTCAGTATTGTTGCCTATGCTATTCAGCAACTTTAAAAAAGAGATTGAGCTTCATAACTTAATGAAATATTAATGAATATGTTAAAATAGGTATCTAATTTGCATAAATTATAATAAAGTAACAAATTTGTGATAAAAACAAATCTGTATTGACGTCCTTGCAATATTTCGCATTAAGCTTGCACTCAAAGTGAGAATAGGGTTAAAGCAATAGTTTTTTACATATTCAAATCAAACAATAGATGAATTGGGGATTCTTTGCAGAAGAATTGACTTTGATTGAAAAAGTTGATAGTTCATATATATGCAAATAAAATTTGTCTTCTGACAGTGAGCAACAATACTTCACGTGCACTAATAACTACTCTTATTATTTTCATTTGTCTTATTTTATAGTGTTTCATGAAGCTACAAGGACTCTCAGAAGAGGAGCGATATTCACTTCTTCTGGAGGCGACCTTGTCTTTGAATGTTAAAAAGATGAAGGCGGATGCCGATGAACTGAAGGCAATGAAGAGTCTGAAGAGCGTGTTTGCTAAGGGAGTTGGGGCTAAGACGTGGGAAGAGGCGATAGAAAGATACCCAACCTTCACTTCAGAAGCAGCCCTGGAACCCTATGTTGGTATGCACAAATCATGGCTTCGTATAATGTCTATTGAAGAGAATATTGAGCCCCAGCAAGATATACAATAATTGCTATCCTGTATCTCCATCAATCCAAATTTTAAAGTTTAGATGAACTAGTAGGGTTGACTATTCTGACTGGGGGGGGGGGGGGTCAATTTGGCCCCTGCCTCCCCCGTACACAATCCAGGACTGCCACGTAACCGCTACAAATCACAACCTGCCTTTCAATGACTTTATTGTCTCGCAACTTTTGAGACCAAATTTGCCCCAAAATTGGGACAGTCCATGCTAGAGGTTATGCAACATTACTTAACCACACGTCTAGCCACAATTGACATTTTGCATAGTACGTTTGTGTACAAAATACTGCCTTTTCTAAATTGTTCTATAAAACATGTCAAGTTCAAATGTGGGTCAAAGGCAACAGGTCAAAAGGAAAACAGACTTTCCTTGGGATTCCATTATTGCTAAAGAGTAAACTACCAGAACCCAAAATTCACCTCCTGATCTGCTTATAGGGCCTAAGATGCAGGCAAGACAACGCTTGGCGTTTGCCTTGTTTAATGATATATTATTGAATGTGTTAAAATAGGAATTTAATTTGCATGAATTATAATAAAGTAATAAATGAGTGATTTTTGTAAAAAACAAACATCAAAGCAACATTTCTTTGCATGTGCATTGCTGTCCATGCAAAATTTCCCATCAATCAGACCTTCTGTGGCCAAGATATTGTGGGGGGAGGGGGGGGGGGGGTCAAATTGACTCCGGAGCTCTATGATCAATGTATATGTTTTTTTTTCAGGTAAAAAGTATACAAAAGGTAACATCCCAGAGGTCTTCCTGGAGCACATCAGCAGGGCCAAGAGAGACATGGACATGAATGCAGACGACATCCCAGCCCTTATGATACAAGAACTAGAAGAGGTATTGTCCCATATTCTTAAGGTTCCAAAGCACTTATTTGTAGGCACTTGGTAATTGAAAGAGGTAAACTGAATTTCACATAAAACAAATCTCAAAATTGTGAGTTTAAAATATCTCAAAGTTGTAATATTGTAATCTATAAGGAACTCAAGGTTAAGGGATTTACATGGAGAATGATCTTATGCTGATGAAAAATCATTGGTAATTTGTCATTGATAACAAAAAAACAAACAATTATATTCATGGCATAGAAATTGCAATTTTCCCACAAGTCATATATTACGTACAATGGCACTTTCGCCCAGACGACTGGCATGGAAAACTGCACCCACATGCTATTTCATCCTATTTTCAAATTTGATTTTTCTATTTTGATTCAACATAGCAAATGTTAAGCTGCAGATAATTATGAAAAGGGTATAAATAAAAAAAAAAAACAGTTTCCAGAACTTTGCACTGTGTATATTATCTGGGCTCAACATATTAGAATTATAGTTAATTTGTATGTTCTTTCCTTTTTATTTGAATTTCTGATATTACAGGATATCCAGTTATCCTCAACACCATCGGCTACTACCAGAATCTTCCTGACAAAGGACATCACAGCGATATCCAAAGTGGTCAGCCAACATACCCGACACGATGTGCATATATTGCATATTGTCCAGTCCCCAGTAGGAGATATTCAAGGTAACTATATGCATGTTCCATGTCTTTTATTAAATATCTTATGAAGCTGACTGTTATTTCGGTATTCAAAGCAACATAACAAACGTTTTTGTGGTTGTGTAATAATGAGATAGCTGCAGTGTGTGTTAAAAAAATATAAATTATTAAGAAAGAATGTTACCGTATAACTTCCAGTGTGTTAGATTGGCTGCTCGATCTGAATGAAAATTCTTTCTTAAGAAATCCTCCTATGAAGCTCAACATTCATATAAATTTTTGTTTATATCACTTGGATTTTAAATATAATCTTGAGTTCTGGTAATGACAGAAATTAACTTCTGACAGAATCCAATGACATTTACAATGAATGTTCAAAACTTCAAAAAATAATGATTACTGAATGCTTTTGGGGGAAAAAAACATATAATAGCTGACTAATGCTGAACAAATGAAGATAAGATGCTTGCCATGTGATCTCAAACACATTACCTCCAAAGCAAGCTAATTATATTAATTAGACAACTGCGGAGTAATTGTGAAACAAATGCATTTCTAATGTCTGGGTTTTTATTCCTAAAGAAAAAGGTGCATTCAGAACTCAAAAAATCACATTGTATCTGTTTGAAAAGAAATTGTGCCTCATGTGAAAAATCACATGTATGTATATTCGTTTTACTTCTATAGGAAATTAAGGCTTATTCATACTGTTCTAAGTAGCCATATAAAATGTGCATATATATTTTATCAACAGATGTCAACCATAATGTCTGTATGCAGTATGGTATTGTCGAGTCTAGGAGGGGGGTGCTGGCACTAGCCAACTCTACATGCCATCAAGATCAGACTTCTACAAATATGCAGTGGAGCATTTCACTTCTATTGATGAAGTGGTTCTTGACGTTGGAGACGGTAAGACATTTTATCTATATACAGATCCAATTAAATTATGATACAGTTTTAGAATAAATGGGTAGATTAAATATATAGAGATACCAATAAAGCAACATGAATACAAAAATAAAATAAAATGTAAGGAAAGGAAAGTTGTGAAATAACGTCCAAATTGTGTAAATTCAAATTGGCTTTTTTCAATTCAAGTATATTTACCTATTTTTCACTATCCATAAATTCTAGACGCATAATAATAACTGACATTAATAGCATCAAAGTTGCCCAGTGTTGCACAACAAAGATTTTAGTCACGAGACTTGGGGTCGTGCAAAATCATGGTCAATATCAATAAGCAACCCTGTGCCTTGTCGGAAATTTGTGTTAACCCTAACTTTACCGGAAAGGTCTCAGATGGCGCCCCCCCCCCCCCCCCCAGACAAATTTTGTTGTCAAACCCATTGCATTTTCAGCAATAGCTAGCGCTTCATGATTTTTTTTTCAAGTGTTATAAATCTTATGACACTGAGGTGTTGAAAATCAGACCTTTCATGATAAAAGGTCGAGCCGATTTTTTTTTTTTTTTTTTTTTTTTTTCTTCCAGTTTTCCAGTAGAATGCAAAAAAAAAAAATGTTCATAAAACATTGAAATACATAAGAATTGAAAAATATGCAAAAAAAAGGCATATAAAAACTGTTTGAGAAGAAATGAACTGTGTAAAAGCTTAAAGACTTAAGATGACATTGTGAGCATATAATTTAAAAAAAATCCAAGTCAAGAGAGATATAGAGAGCTTTATATCTTCTCAAAAACTCTGAAACCAAAAACAATTTGGAATGAAACATTTTAGATAGGTTACAAACAGAGATTTTTTATATATATTCTCACCAGGAGAGAAATTAAAACGGTGGTTATTAGAACCGATCGTTAGATATATTGTTTTTAAACAATGGCTCACATATTCACTATTTAAAAATACTTTCCATAGATATTAAAATTTGAGACATTCAGATTGGTCTATTTAAACTATAACTCATATGTGTATACCATTTTCGAGAAATAAAATCAGATTTTAAAAATTCTAACAAGAAAATTGAAACGTCAGTGCCAAATTTGGTTACTTAAGGGGTAGGCTCTGAGCCCCCCCCCCCCCCTCCAGTCTTACAAATTTCAAAATAGCCCATTCAGTAAGGGTTTATGCTTTTTTTCTTTTTTTTTTTTATTGATAATGTAAAAGTATTATTTTAGTAAGACAACCAAAAATTTAAAAAAGGGGGTTTATCATTTAAGTAGAAATGTATTGATAAAGAGATGTTGAGCAAATTTAACTCGAAAACCAGCTTTGAAAATCAAAGACAGACTGAACTTTACTAAAGCATTCCATATTGAACTTACCAAAGTAAAATACAAAAATGAACAATATGTAATGCATTTGGTATGGAATTAGGTGCTCGTTTGCTGTGGTTAAAGCACTTTACCTAGTGTTGCGTCTAATAACTTGGTTCTTCACAAGCTTCACCAGACAAACAAATTAAATATTCTTTTCTCTATTATATTTTCAGGACTGCTGGCAAGGGTTGCAGCAGAATGTGGACGAAATGGGAGGATGGTAGAGGAGACAACACTGTCCAGCACAGAAATAGAGGCCATGATGGGTGCTGCAGACTCGGAGGAGATTCTAGATGCAGATCTAGTATTAAGCATGGACCAGACGTGTTCTATACCTTAGTGCATTTTGTTTCTCTCATTTCCTCACCTCGATCACTACCTCATTTAGTTCTGAAAAATCTTGTTAAGATATGTGACAAACTAACGTTTTTATGTAAATATTTTTATACAGATATGGCTGGTAGGGTGTTTATATATCATTCTTTTGGCCGCTGGAGTTGTATTTTCATGAGGGAAAATAAAACTCCTTTAGGTAGGCTAAAGAATATGTATTACATACATAACAGGAAATATCTATTATAATATTAGATAACCTTGATTAAGACCAAGTCATGGTTTTTACATGAAAGTCTGAACACGAACAGTTTAATAGAGTCTGATCTACAGTAGATATCCATTGTCTTCGCCCTTCTCTTCTCTGTGCTTAGCTGTTATGACGAATATTGTTGATACATGAATACATTGTCTTAGCTCAAGCGCGTATGCTCCTACTGTTATCGTTGACCAGCTGGTCAATATAACCATCCAGATGACCGGGCGTGAACTGTTAACAATAAATTGCAGTCCCCATATCACTTGACATGCTGTGGACCAATCACACCTTAGCAACTCTCTGAGCTATCTAATACAAGTATTTAAGTCTATGTGTAGATGTGTTTTTAGTTTAGTAGATAGGTGGCTGGACTACCGATCATTAGGTACATGTATGTGGTTCAAATCTCGGCCACTTCACTAAGGTCTAGCTTTGGCAAGACCTTAACATACATTTACTACACTCAAACTATATTGTACCAAAATATGTAGCCTAGTTAAGGTCAGGTAACATACATGCAGGAGCACCTTGCTATATAGATGAGCGCTATACTAGAGTGCAATATTATTATTATTATCTTTTATTAGAGCATATTTTTGTCTTGCCAAGTGAACTTGATTACTTTGAAGGTAATTTCAAAGGCACAGGGTTGGTGAACGTGACTCGTCACCTTATTTATTTTTCTAAAGCATCAACACAAAAACCCACATATTATTATTTTATCAAGGATAAAAACTCGGGTCACAACTATTGGGCCCTTGATTTTGTTACCATCTTGTCAAAATGAAACACTCGATCTAACTCATTTCCAAGCATCAGAAGACGGTTGTTGATATCAATGATGTAGTTGGAAGATCATATACTTCAAAGTTATAATCAAGGAATTATCAGAGCTGGAGTCCAAACTGAGGATAATTTATGCAAACATCTGGCAGATTCCAAAGGATAGTCAATAGAATTATTAAACTGCCTTGGTTCTTTGATATTTGATGCGCGATGCCACCAAAGTAAAAGAAAACATTTTAGAGAGGATGTGAACTTTGTGGGTTTTGTTTGCACAGTTGATTTATTATATCAATAAACATAGAAAACAAATAGGCAATTGTTTAGTAATTATGTACGATGCCACTCTGAAAATCCCATTCCTCAACAAGCAAGATTTCTTGAGATATTGCCTTAAGAGTGTAATAAATATGTACTGCTTCAAGTACAATATTGATCCCTTGCTGATTGCTTTTCTGATTTTCATATTTTATATGGTACTATCAAGAAAATATTTCTATTAAATTAAATCAACCAGAGTAAAGTCCACATGTGTCCACTCATGGAATTAGCAACTTTAAATCTTGTATTTTTGGACGTGTATCTGTTTGCTTACACTGGTTATACCATTCATGAGCACTTTCTGTGTAACCAATTATCATTATATTGAATACCTTTAATTGCATATGTGCATCCTCTGTAGCAATACTGGCCGCGGGTGTTTCATGTTAGTTCTTTTGAATCAATGTGCATGTATTCGGAGAGCGCATATATATTTGTCGTGGTTGTTGTGGCATTGGCCTACTTCAGAGGAAATTGTTAAGCTTTTACTCCAGCTGTAATTACTCCTTGTTATTATATTAAAGTTTCACATCACTTTAAGAGGGTCAATTTGTAGGATCACTGTGTAAGTTTATACGTATGTTTATATGTATAAGTTTATACATGGCACGCACCCTCCAAATCCATGTATAAACTTATACGTTTTGGATGGTCTGTACGATGTATAAATTTATACGTTTTGGATGGTCTGTACGATGTATAAATTTATACGTTTTGGATGGTCAGTACGATGTATAAATTATACGTTTTGGATGGTCTGTACGATGTATAAATTTATACGTTTTGGATGGTCTGTACGATGTATAAATTTATACGTTTTTGGATGGTCTGTACGATGTATAAACTTATACGTTTTTAAAGGGTCCATGTCATGTATAAAGTTATACGTCAGAACAAACAGCATGATATACATTTGTATATTTTGCAAGTTGTGTTATTTATAAAAGTGATTGACAACCTATTTTGTGTAAATAATTATTTATTTGTTATCAGTGCATTTATTTGTATTGCCAAATAAAGAAACATGGATTACATTTCAACTGCAAAAAGCATCATTAATTAATTATTTAAGTGTATTGTGTTAATGTTTGTATAAATGCGATGTCTTTCTACTACTGCATGAGAAAGAGAGAATTTACTTTTAGTGATTTCATAAATACTTTAATGAGGAAAGCGAAGGAGTGAAAATGAGAAAGTTAAATATACAGCGAAAATGTCATATAAAGTGTGATGGAGGTGATAGTTGGCTATACCATGAGAAAAGCAAAGCAGTGGAGGCTATAAGCCCTATAAATGAGAGAGTTCTCAAATTATAAGGATTTGGCATGTAATTTGATTTGAATCTGGATTACCCAAGTCCAGATTGGAATAAATTATTGTTTGTAGCACATGTAATAATAATGCAAAGATTGTGTCTCAGCGAAAGAGCTCATGTTGACTCGTGATTCATTCTTGAGGAGATATGATACAATTCTTTATCATGGATCTTTTTGTTTGTATATATTGTAACACATGTGATAATAATGTCGAGACTTTATTCAGATTTATGCAAAGGAGCTCATGGTGATCAGTGATACATTCCAATGGAGATATGGTACAATTCTTTACCATGGGTCTTCTTGACACGTGGCAAGAAGATTGTATGCAAATATTTATTGATCCGACTCACTACACATCTCATACTAGATATAATTGTTTTCATAGAAAATTTGGGTTTATGGTTGTTCCAGTGCGTACAGTTTAGCCATACCATTCATATAAACGAAAAGGTCTTTAATGTTTATAACTTCTCTTTAATGAAAACTTTGACAAGTAAATATCAAGTTAATATTTACAAGATATTACATAATCAAGATCATCTACATTTTGTACAACTTCCCATTGATTAGAGTGTATTTCTGACATGTCTACATTAATACATTTGAAGTTAACTATTGAACTTATTCACATTATTTTGACCTTGTGGCTGACACATTTTGTCTGTAGCCGATCGCTGTGAAGTATACTCTCTCCGTTTCTCGAATGTGTGTGGGTGAGTGTGGGTGTGCGTGAGACCGTATATGTGCTATAATATTCTTATTCACATCATACAATTAAGAATAATCGGCACAATTAATTCATGGAGATACATACGACTACATATAAGACGAAAGAAAACTAACATGAAATAATATAAAGACATCGATTGTATGAACAAATTAAAGAAATTTCATCGTTTGCAGACCCTCATTAATTTATGAGCTGCAAATCAAAGAGAGTCATCCAGGAATGACGTCAGAGGTAAAGCAAAAAATAAGAATGATAGTGCATAGTGAAAATGCACGTATAATGCATCTTATCTTTCAAAGTAATAGAAGGAAACGGGGTAACAAAAGGGGCAAATCAAATAACATCATTAAAAGAAAAAGGTGTAGACCAGCTGAAAAAATACAATGTATGAATTAAATTATTAAAGAAGTATCACAAATAAATACAAATACGGTTAACGTTTGTTACTGTGGCCGACAGAGTTGGCCTGTAGCCGTAGCTGCAATTCATAGAAATTTATCAAGGAATCAAATTCAATATTTTTAAAAGCAAACCTGTCGAGGGTAATTATTTGTTATATTTGAAGTGCACTTCTCTAGTTTAACAATCTTGGTGGGTTCCCTTCTTTAGTTCAGGATTAGTTTATGATTCATCAAAGAAGGGAGGTAAAACGATTCAGTACTCATGGTAATGGAATACTCTGTTATTTTTACGTAACATATTCTGTATTTTGATAAATTACATTTATTCAGTGGATTTGTTAAGGAAAAGCTCTTGGGAGCAAATACATCAATACATGCAATTGCTCCTACCAACATGCAATAATACTTATCACTGGATGAAGTATGATAATCATTTTTCTTTTAACCAGACTTTGTAAATTTCATGAACCACAATCGTAAGATTTCACGGTGGTAGACAATGTAATATATTATAAATGTCGATATGATGAAACACATTATTTTGTATCTCTTGATTTTACGCTCATAATAGTCAATATATTACACTCTATAGCTTCTTTAGGATGATCATGAATATTCATATCTACTTAAGATGGTTGTTGTATGGTACTAACAGTTACTGTTTGTTGTGTAGGCCCATCCCCCTTTCTAATCAGGCGACGTAGTACATTCATTGCGACGCGGCGGTACGGTGGATTTATGAACCAGTAAATAACCGCGTTCCACCAGCTTTGACATATTATCAAATACCTCAATGCTATCGTGGTGTAGGGCGGGACTTGTTGCGTGATAGTGGCAGATATCAAATTAGTTAACGTGGATGGTATCCAAGATGTATAGAATGCGGCAGTGATGAAGAGAATAGTCTTCAGGCCTTTAGTAGACGAGGTCGGTTGGTTTTGAAGGGCGTTTACCGCATGATGCTGCGTGGCTATCTGGCGTCGATGCTTACGAATTATCCACAACAAGCGAGCATTGGTATAGATTGTCAAAACTACCCCGCAGGTCGGGAAAACGGTGTAGATGACAAAACTTGGTCTAATACCCGATGCACAGACGCCTGAATATGGGTGACAAACACCTGCCACCCTGCTGTGAATAAAACTTACACTTGAATTCAGGAGTGCTACCGATGCTGCAATGATTATAGCGGTCATGAAACGACGACGCGGTAGGATGGTGTGATACCGCAGCGGTCGGCTTACCGCAATGAAGCGGTCAATGCATGTCAGGGTCAAGATCCACATTGATTGCCAGGTTAAAGCGGGACAGATAATGACGATCACGTCACGTACGGTGGGAGGGAGCATATTGAAAAATAGGCCTGAGCTTGAGCAAACGAACCCAGTAAGAAGATCAACAATTGTTATCGCCAGCAAGGCAAGCTTGGTGTTTTCACTCCAATCGCTAACACGGGGAACAACCAACAGATTGAAGGCGTTGAACAAAAGAATAAGAGTCGTACTGATAGAATATAGACTCACGACAGTTACTTTTATCCTTTGGAA